GGCGGGCCAGGTGAGCCCCGGGAGGCGAAGGTCCTTCCCAGCCCGGCCACCTGTGGACCGGCAGGTGGTGGGAGACGGTCCTCACTCCCCCTTCTCCGGAGGAGGGATTTGTTGGGTTTGGGTTTGGTTATGCCTGACACACACGAAGCAATTGGAACGGAAGCAGTTCAAGGAGACTGAGCAACTTCAGAACATTTAGCAGCGTTAAGACTCAGCAGTTTTCTTGCTTTGGGTGCTCAACGAAATCTACATGTTTTCTACTCACAGCTCGTATGCTCCTTTCATACACCTGGGCGGGAAAGTACACCCTTAAGTGAGAATGTTTGAGGTTCCTTAGGGGTGTAGGGTAGGTCATATTTGTGAATTTTTTTTTTAATTAAAACAAACATTAAAACCACCTGGAGAGAGCGCACCACATTAATTTGCTGAAACTCTGAAAAGAGCGGGTGAAGTAACCCCGTTTGTTGCAGAGCTTTCCAGGACTCCTTGATGGTAGCTATAGGGGTATGTGGAGACATTTCCCTAAATCGAGTGCGTCTTTTGTTTTTAAGAAAAAAGTCCTCACACCTGTGAGGAAAAACAGGTGAAAAGACTCTGAATGTCAGCAAATTCATGCATGTTATATTACAGAAACAAAAAAAACCTGAGTGGTTTCATGTATTGTATCGAAATTACTAGTTTTTCATGTATTTTGCTCAAAATAGCAGTTTCACAGGAAAGTTGAGATTTTTTTTAAAGTTGTGAAAATAAATGGTAAATTCACTACTCTGGCAGAATTAATTAATGCTATTGATGTCATTAAGCCCTGGTAGGGACTAAGAATTTAGAGATATAGAAATAAAATACTTCTGATATATTAAATATAGTTAATATATACACTATTGGTAAAGAAAATCTGTATCATTACTATTCAAGACCAAAAAAAAAAAAATCACTTGGCTTCTGTTGCAGAATTCATTTAAGAACAGCAACAAGATATCTTTATAAAATTCCTTAACTGAAACTGAACTTCTCAAAAAGTTATTTTATATTTTCCACACTTTTCTCACCCTTCCCCCATACATCTTAATGTCTGAAATGAGAATGAAGAAAGTTCTTAAATTTATTACAAGGAATATTTGTATTCAACAATATCATACTTAAGGTAAAAACCACTAACTAGAAAATGAATACCAAGTAACAATGCTTTGCTTGTTTGACAACAAGAAAACTGATTCATTGTCTTTAAGAAAGAACAGTTTAATTAAATGTGTGGGTATCTGGAATATACTTATTGAAAGGGAGAAGGGTTTGGGGCACTCTATTTAGGAGATGGTTCCTGAAAAAGCAATTATGCCTCTTAATCATCCTGTTAACATTTACTGGGGGAAAAAAAATGACTGATTTATTTTATTTTATTTTTTGGTGGGGAGAGAACATGCCATTTTGACATAATGATTGTTTCTTTAACCATGCTTTAAAAATGAGTTGGATTTTACTTAAAACACATTAGGTTCAGTCTTTTCAAACGTTTTTAAAAATAAAAAATGTTTCCCAGGAAACTTCCAGTAATTTAGGTGAAATGGCAATTACATAAGATAGCCAAAGTTGAAACTGCTTTTAAATATATCCATTTTTTTTCCTTAGAAAAAGAATGAAGTGAGGAAGTGTATGGTGTGCTCATAACTACAGTGTATATCCCTCTAATTATGAAATTATACTTTCATGTTTCTAGGACTATTACTTCAAAGATTAGGATATACTTAAAAATATTTTAGTTTTTTTCTGATCAAATAGGATTTAGGCTCAACCCATCAAAATTTAAATGTTGAAAATCTATTGTGTTTCTAAAAATTGTACTTCTCCTACCCCTTTGGATAATTTACTAGGTGACTAACATAATCAAAGACACAAAATTCCATTCCATTCCAGAGGTCATAAATACTCTGTTTTTCAAAGGTTATTCTTTATTGAATAGCTTATAAAACTATTTTAAGAAAAATTTAGAAATTCTTTAAAGTGGACTGCAAAATTAGAATTTAAGGAACTTGAGACTTTTTTTCAGGATTGGAGTATAAATAAACAACTATTTTTGACATTTGGGGTAAAATTAATTTAAATGTAGGATTAAATGGTCTCAGATTCAACGACTTGATGTCTAAAGAGCTCATAAAACATTTTTAGGATACAAATATTCTTATGTATATTCAGAGCTCTAAATACTTATAAGATATACCATTATCTGTCATAGATATTTAAATATAGGAGTCATTTTCTTTTTAAAGTTTACTTAAAAATTTTTATTGTGAAATAAACATACAAAAGAAAGTATAAGACAAATATATACACTTTAAAGAGAAAGGAAAATTATTAGGAGCAACAAGTTCTTAAATACTTGAAAAGGTAGATTTGGAGTTGGTTACAATATCAGTGTTTAAATTTGATGTTACATAAATCATGTCTATGTTTTAGGGGTTTTAAGTTCTTCCGAGTAGTGGCTGTTAATATAAGGACACCTTTTTAAGGCAGAAAAATAATTAAAATCATAGGATATAAAAGTTTTGTTTTATATTTATTTGTAATTTTAATAAAAGGGCACCAAAAACTATCTTCTTGTCTCCCAAGCATGGCTATTTGATTTCATCCAAAGCTATAGAGCTTCAGCTCTTGAATTTATTACTGATGACTCTTAAATCCATATTTCTAGGTCAGACCTCTCTGTTGGACTTCAGATACCTATACATACACTAAAAAGAGGCCTTTGGATTTTAGCTCTTAGGAAGTTAATGATATGATATCAATATTTGCTTTAAAATGAAGGAAGAAGAGAAAG